AGACTTCATTTTGAGTTCCAGATGTCATTTGAGATCTGCGACCTCAGGCATGTCTTTTAATGTTTTGCAACCTCACTGGTACCTATCTGTCCTTACACAGTTGAAGTGAGGGTCAGAGGAGGTTTGTGTGAGAGTACTTTATATACCATAAAGGACAACATATATATATATTATCGATCAGAAACCAATACACCTGCATGGGTTTGTTTGGTTCATGTACTAAAGTGGAATTCCTGAGGATCGGAGTGTTAAATGTATACATATGAAATAAGTGTTAGACAGTCTCTGTGCAAGACACATGCTGTGTTAGGACTCTGGGGGAGGCGGGAAGCTGCTTCTGTTAGAGATGGCGACAGTGAGGAGAGGCACTGAGTCTGAGGCCTTTTGGTGGAGGTGGTAATAAAAGGGTTTTCTGAGGAGCTGGAGCATGAAAAACCCCATATTTGAATGTCATGGCTCAGATGTGTGTCTTCATAAAATCAGCTCCCCTTTTATCTAAACCCACTTCTCCATAACCAGGCCGCCTCTGCTGCAGCAGGAATTGACTGCTGGGAGCAACTATAAACACTGTGCTAATGGCAGCACCGCCTGAGAACGGTCACTGGGGAGTGTGATGTGTGCAGTTACAGGCCAGAGAAAATGTGTTCTACTCCCTACATATCACAGGGCACGCACACTACAATCTGATATAGCGTAAAGGTACTTTAATAATTATTACCATTAAAGGCAAACAACTCCACAGATCAACTCTTTTAAAACATGTTTTCTAACCTCTGTTTCCTCGCAGACGTATGGTTATTGCCCACCTGGAAAGGTCCCAGAGTGATGGCCAGGAATCTGCCACACCACCCCTTCTGCTGTTCCTGCCATCATATTTAATGGTGTTTGCTCAACTCAAAGCCAAACTCATATGCAGTATATTTAGATGGTTAAAAAAGCATCGCATTCCACTGTATTCACAGATTATTTTAAACACCACCATTCTTGGGAATTAGTCTGGAATAAATAAGGTAAAGTGAAAAGTAGCAACATAAATTTGTTTCAGTGACAAAGAAAACAATATCAAAATGGCAATCTGGAGATTCGCCATGAATGAAGGAATGCGGTTCCTTTCGGTGCACTCTCCTGCAAATGCAATCACCGTCTCCTTCACCAGCCTGGATTTATTTTAAAGTGGGTGAGAAAGAGAGCTAGAAACTAATACTAAGAAATTGTGAAAAGTACCTTTATAATTTCAAAAGATCAATGCACAATCTTGTATGGCATTAAAGGTAAGGGTGTAGAACTGACATATATGTTGATTTTTCTGAGCCTCTAAGAAGCTATTTTTCCATAATGGCAAACTTTCTAAGTTGAAAAACATGTATCACTAATATATAATCTGGATCTCTTTTCTGAGGTCTCAGCAACTGCATAGTTCCTCAAATGCCTTGAAAAACAAAGTCACAAATTTACAAAAGCTAACTCTACCTTAAAATGTTTAACTTGCATTTTAAGTATCGTTTAACAAATACTAACCCTGTCACCCAAATGTCAAAGAACTTCTGAACCATGGAGTAAAGAACAGACTTTGTTGCTAAAGAGGTTATGGCTTGAATTGGATCAATTAATTAAAAATAAAGACCAATGTTTTGTGCTTTGAATCTGAGCCAAACTTTCTATAATAATAATAATGGGCATTTTAACCATACAGAAGTTAAGTAACCTGATTTTCATCCAAATTCGGAAAATGAAAAGAATGAACATGCATGCAGATAATGTTTTACTTGAGATTTTCCCAGGAAGTATACTACAGGTACCTACATAACTATTGATCAAGCATTACATTTAGGGAAAGCCAACTCTGTGCTTGTCAGGAACTGACTTTTTCTCTACATTCTTATTCCTCATTTGTTTGTTAATTAATTCAACAAATTTGATCCAGAGCCTATTTTGTGCCCATGAGTTATTATAGGTACTGAAGACTCAGAACAAGATGGGCTCCATGCTTGTAAATTTGTGACTTTGTTTTTCAAGGCATTTGAGGAACTATGCAGTTGCTGAGACCTCAGAAAAGAGATCCAGATTATATATTAGTGATACATGTTTTTCAACTTAGAAAGTTTGCCATTATGGAAAAATAGCTTCTTAGAGGCTCAGAAAAATCAACATATATGTCAGTTCTACACCCTTACCTTTAATGCCATACAAGATGGGCTCTCATGGAGCTTGTATTCTTCCCTGGGGGTTAGGATTAAGAAAAAACAAACAAACAGAAACTAAGACCTCAGATAGTAATAACTCAATTAAGAAAGCACAGCAGAGAAGGATGCTAGGGTGACATGGAGGGTAACTTCAGATGGTAAAAGGAGAGGTCTCATTGAGGAGGTAACATGTGCTTCAGATGGACCAGAAGACACCGGCCATGTGAAGAGCTGAGGGAACTGCATTTACAAAGACTGCAAAATGGGAAAGAGCTTGGAGAATCCAAAGAACAGCAAGAAGGCATTGAACTTAAAACTCATGACCTGGAGGGAGATGTTTTGAGATGGGGCCTGATGGTGAGCAGAGGACGAAAGTCAGATGGCACATTCTAAGAGTTCAATGATAACTCTCATTCTAATAGTTCAATGTTCTGCAGTTTCATTTTCAAATAACTATTTGCAGATAACCATGTTGTCAACAATTCAATGCACTATTTTTTAAAAGATCAGCATTTTCAGATAAGTCCAGACAAGAGAGTCTCTCAGAGAAAAATCAGAAACAATTTTCTTACCAGTTCAGTATTAATCAAGTCTCATAAATAATGTTCTGAAAATAAATGGGAAAGTGCTAAAAGAGATTAAAAACTCTCGGGTGTCTTTCATCCTTCTAAAGTAGATCAGTTATGTTTATGGTAGCTGGTGGTGTGTGGTAGTTTGGAGTAGAATGCTTCGCATGCCATTCTTTAAAAATCTAAGGCTCTTATTAAGATGAGATTCTAGCTGTTTCTATTAAAAATTCATGACCCTTTTCCAAGAGAACTGTTTTTGACCTGTTACTTCTGGCTAAATTTGTGGGAGTTCTTTTCTTCCACTCATTCCTGCACATAATATTTCAGGGAAATAGACTTTAATAGCTATTGACCTAATTGAAATATATCTAAATTTGTTCAACAAAAATAACAATTTGCAATTTTGGTGAAACCACAAATTCACTTAAAAGTGAATATTATTCAGAGCAGATGCAATATGTTTTCAAGGATGTGCTGCCCCTAGAGTACCATTTAGTGGATTGGAAGCAGCGATTCACCACTGAAGAAACTTAGTAAAAGATAATGAAGTTAACATACATAAACCCCACACTTTCCAAATAGCAGGAAACACATGACTTACCTTTCCTAGTTTGTTTCTAGATATTTAATTATTTATTTATTGTTAATCCTCACCTGAGGATATTTTTCCACTGATTGATTTTTAGATAGAATAGAAAGGAGGGAGGGAGGGAGGGAGGGGGAAGAGAGAGAGAGAGAGAGAGAGAGAGAAATCAACGTGAAAGAGACACATCGATTGGTTACACAACCCTGATGAGCTGGGCATGAAACCTGTGACCCAGGCACACGCCCTTGACAGGGAATCAAACCCTCAACCCTTTGGTCCACAGGCCGATGCTGTAACCACTGAGCCAAACTGGTCAGGGCAAGACAGACATTTAATATTGTGTAAACATCATGCAACCATAGGTTCAACACAAGACTTGGCCTCTCTCCCACCACTCCTACCTCCCACCTCTCTAAGCAACTTTGGGACAGGACCAGGAGCCCCTCTGGGGGCTAGTGCATGAATAGGGTTCATCCTGGGCTACTGCCTGACAGGGTAAGCTCGCTGGGAGAAGACTTTGCTCTTGATGGGGAAGCTTCTAGATTGTTCAGCTTTGGGCATGATGTGTGGGTGAACTTCACTCAGGGGTAAAATACTAGTAATCCCATTAGGGCCATACATCTAGGCCACAGCTGTATTGACAATAAAGCTGCTTTATCGTTATTATTATTGTTGTTTATTTTTTAACATTCATTTGGGAAACACTAGAGTCTCTCTCTCTTAAGATATTTTCTTATGGGCACCCAGATTCCTCAAGGATGATCTGACAATTGCACTATTTCATTGTCATACTGTCTTTTAGGAAAAATGATCCTTAATATATTTTTCAAAAAATATAGAGATACGTTTGACATCACAAAGATTATATAGACTTTTCATATGTAACTATGAGCAAACAGATTATACTTGAACAAGAAAGGTGTCTCACACATATACATCTTATGTAAAAATGTGACACTTAATAGAGAAATCCAACTTTTAACATTTATACCTTATACTTTTCACTGAAAACTTTAAAAGTATTTTTAAAAACCATGTTAATTGATCAAAGATATAAAGAAAATGTTTATACTTTTGTGCAAAATAAGTTACATTTACATTCTTCGTCTAAAATCACATTATTTCAAGGGGTTGTCCTGCAGGGTATGTGTGTGTGTACCCGTGTGTGTGTAAGTAACATGCAACTGAGAGGGCCAAATAGCAAGACAGAGCCAGGTAACTGGCTGAAAAGCAAAAGATTCAATCATGACAGTTTTACTGACACGATTCCCCTGAGTGGACTAGTTGATTTTGCCTGGCATCTTATATACATTCATTAAATTGTTGCAAACAGAGGCATAGTATTATAATGACATTCAAGTCAATAACTTTTGGTGTTTATAATACTGAACTATTATATACACAGTCAAAATATTTAAAGTTCCAACTAAAATCAACTATTTTAATTTCAGAAAAAATTGTGCTGCCTTTTGCAAATATTTACTGTGTAAAAACAACATTTAGAAAATATATTTCATATAATTTCATATAATTGAGATACATATACCTATAGAACCATATATATCCTATATATAAAGATATGTGTGTGTATACATATGTGTGTGTGTGTGTGTGTATGTATATTTTTACCCCCTACTAGATCCCCCAAATCCTTAATCTTACCTGTTTTTGAGAAGTACACTGAAGGTCATCTTATCCAGTCCTAGATAATTTGGCAGCAAGTTTGACCAATTCCAGTTCCATTTTGTGAGGGCTGACTGTTGATAAATGAGAAGATGCTATTGTTAGTTATTAATCAGAGTTAATATGATCAGTAAATTACAGCTCCAGCTGTGATAGACTAACTAAGAAGGAGGGGGATCCAGAACAAGGACTTAGACAGATAACATCAATCATGTCCACAGAAGAAGGTTTTTATTCCAATAAGACAGCAATTAATTTATAAATCCATTTGGGGATGTAGTCATTATTTATAAAAATATAAATCAATTTCTTGAGTCGTTATTCTTCCAAGTGCTAATGGCATTTGCCTAACAAGTTTCTCTGAGAGGATGACACTTTGAAAAGCAAAGCAAAATAATTGGTAACTTTTTCATGTATCTGTTTATAGTCATTTTTAGCACCCAGAAGTTTGATTAAGAAAACAAACTTGGAGCTCTGGTGGGTAACTCAGTTAGTTAGAGCATTGTCCCGCTGCTCCAAGGTTGCAGGTTCAATCCCCGGCCAGGGCATGTACAAGAATTAAGCAATAAATGCATAAATAAGTGGAACAACAGATTGATGTTTCTCTCTCTCTCGTCACTGGATTAAAGAAAAAGAGAAAACAAGCTTGGAAGTACTATGACTCAAATTATAAAACACAGCTTAATTAGAGTGTGATAGTAATGTTATCTGTCTGGTTAAAAAAATGCTTTAAAGGGGAAATTACAAGGACCTATAAATGTAAATAACATAAGTGATTCTTTTCTTCCTAATTTAATAAATAATTTCACAACAGAGTATGGAGAAAAATTACTGTGCGAGATAATCTCATATTTCAGAACTGAATAAAACATGCCATTTATTTAAATGAAATCAGGATAATTTAACAGCCACAATGATTCCTTATGGTTTGAAGCAATCTAATGTACAATACAGAAAAGCAGTCAGTAAGCTCAAACTTATACAATATATTTGGCTTTAAAGTATTATAGATGCATATACTCCTTAAATAGTTTTGATAATAAGAGTCCAGGCTGATATTTAAAATCCAACAAGAACTCTGCCCTGTCACCTGCTGATTAATGGAGCACTCCAGTCCTGTCACAGAGCAGGAGAATTCTGCCCCGGGTTGTCAGCATTTGAAGGTCTTATTCTAGTACAGTATTGATGAGTGTAGACTAGGGCTGTAACAGGCATGGTAAAAATATTATCTGCATCCCGAATTAGGCCATTGTTTTAATTCTTATTTTTGTCAGAGCTCTAGGTCAAGCAATCCTTCTCTTCTGCCCTGTTAGTTCAAATAGTCTGTCAAGAGGCTTCTCACAAAAGCCACCAAAAGAATGAATAAAGCAAATGCAACTGCAGCTTTCAAATATGTTGGGATAAAGGTGGTGTTTTTAATATAATGGCTGAAACATTCAGCTTAAATAATGGTGTAATCTGGCATTTAAAAAATGTGTGGTGTTTATGACAGACAATTCCAAACATCCTAACTTTAGGATCATTGGCAAATTCATTTTAAATTCAGGAATATGTTTAGGGTTATATAAAAAGAAGCTAATTTACCTCATGCTACCTGAAATAGGAGCTCAGTGCTGTACTTATAATGAATTGTGAACTATTTTATAATTTACCTGATGAATTAGATAAACTGATAAAGATTCCAAGGTGTTTTGTGAGTGTGGGCATTGTGGGATGGGGGTGGGGACAGCCAAGGAGGGAAGACTGTTACAAAATGCCTGGTTTTTTGGTTCTTCAGTAGACACAGCTAAACAGATGTTCCCTCTGCCCGCGGTGAGCTGACCTGGTCAAAAGCTAAATTTTATAGACCAAACATATGAATCAGTTTGACAAATAGGAAGAAGGTAAAATAACTTTTCAAAGTCAATTTGTGCAGACCATGCAAGTAAATACAAGCCTTTTGCTTCCTAACAAAAAGGCTTATGAATAAATATTCTAACACAAGCCACTTTTTTTCTTGCTAGTGTAAAGAAACCACGCATTTAAATTAAATTTACCATTACATACCTGATCTAGCATGTTTTCACTAAATGCCTTGTACACATGGAAAGGGTTAAAGGCAGAAGGCTGATCTTCCACACTCCTCAAGGTTGTTTTTAAAGGTCGGATGGGTAATGGCTTTTCTTCTGAACCATTCATAGAAAACAGCTGTTCTTTTAAATACTCCTTCAAGGGGAAAAAATTACAAGTCGTTGTGGTGGGAAGCATATAGTCTCTTTAAAAATAAACTGATCAATATCCAAATCTACTCTTTCAGCACATTTGCCAGATTACAGTGTATTACTTGCCTCAGGATGGAATACATTTTCTGAGGAAACACAGCAGAGTACTAATCAGTTTTGCAATAAACCCATCAAAAGCAGGTTCACCTAATATATAGGATAGATTAGAAAACCCTTAACAAATTCTCACATAAGGAATGTGTGCTTGATGAATCAGGATCTTTTTAATAGGCATTGTCTTGTTATTGGTTCGTGTGTTAACACACCTAGTTACCAAAACTTAACTCAAGTACAAGATTATTCACAGGACAAGATTGCTTATTTATTTATTAGGTGTAGTTGCTACCTTACTCTATGCTTAGCAAAGTGCTAACTACTTTGATATTTCACTACAAGCAGCCTCACTCTATGTAGAATTAATTCTAATGCAAGCTCCTAAATTCTATTTCCATGCTGTGGACTGAAAAATATTAAGGTACAAAAGAAGATCAAAATATGTAACCCTAGCTCCGCCAGTGTGGCTCAGTGATTGAGCATCGACCCACGCAATAAGAGGTTGCTGGTTTGATTCCCAGTCAGGGCACATGCTCAGGTTGTGGGCCTGATTCCCAGTGAGGGGCATGCAGGAGGTGGCCAATCAATGTTCTCTCATTGATGTTTCTATCTCTCTCTGTCTCCCTTCCTCTCTCTAAAATCAATAAAGAAAAATTATTTAAAAAAGAATGTAATTCTAATCCCCCAATTGCCAGTTCCAGCATGGATAAAAAAAGTCAATCTACCAGAGGCATGGGTACATAGTACAGACTGACAGATCTCAGAGGGAAAGTGGGTGAGGTGGACTGGATGAAAGAAGGTGAAGAGAATAGCCAAAGAACATATATGCATAACCCAAGTGTGGTGAGGGCCACAGGGAGGGGAGGGTGGTTTTTGGGTGGAGGCGGGCAAACAGGGGGGGAAAGTCAATCTACTGCTTTATTCCTCATTTTCCATTCATAAATAAATAAGATGAACAATCCATATAGGATTCTTTGGAAAACAACAAATAAATTACTGCAAGTTTCTGACAAACTATCAAATGTTTACTATGAATAAGCAAGGCATGCAATAAATAAATGTCCTAATTTTTAGGATATCACAATATAATTTTTTTCTTCAAGATTAGGATTGAGACTAGGTTCAGAATTTTAGAGTTGAAAAGGACTTCAAAACTTTTCTAGAAAACCCTCGTTACTCTAAATCTGATGTACAGATCAGCCTAATCAGCCTCAGCAGGGAGCTTGTTAGAACAGCAGAATCTCAGGCCCCACCAAATCAGAATCTGACTGTGAAGATTTCCCAGGAGATTGGTAAGCACATGAAAGTTTGAGAAACTCTAGTTCATGGCACATTCAGTGGTGCTCTGAAAGGTCAGGGACAAGCCTGAGGTCACTCATGGATGAGTGGTATAGTTGGGGCAAGAAGCCACATCTTTGGTCTCAGTCCACTGTGCTTTTTCCTGTTGCTCTGTAACTTCATGAATAGACAATGCTCACTGTATTCACTGTGCAATGCTAATTTTAGATCCCCAAACCCTAAACGTCTAAAAAAAAAAAGCTACTTAAGTTAACAATAATAGTCATAACTTACTCATTGTGGATCATATCCATTTAAAAAATCAGTTCTATACTATATGTTAGACATAGATTCTAACTAAAATTATTAGATAATGATAAAGCCATCAGAAAATAATTTTATACCTAGATTTTTATTGTTGAACAGAAACAAATTTTTCTCCATTATGATTTCTGAAAGTAAAACTTTAAAAAGGAATAAAATGTCCTCTTTTCCTTAGAAAAACTGCTTTGTTTGGGGTAATAATCTTTCTTGTTGACTTCCTCAGGACTTTATTTTGCCTGTCTTTGTTTCCACAACTCAAAAAAGAAAAAGTGCTCTGCTGCAAGCTGTAAACACAATGTTTTCTCCCTTAATTTCTCTGACCCCTCTGCTATTGACACTTGTCATCACCACTTCTTATAAGTCTCAGGTTTTCTGTGATTGTGCTTTAACCAGATTTACTGCTAACCTGGTATATTTCTTTAAAAGAAATATATTCTTTGAACATTCTTTCTTGAACACCTTCCCCGTGCAGCTAAACCAAAGCTTATTTATCTATTCATTGCTTCTCTACTTCTCGTCACTGAAAAGTGCCACGAGTCTTTTGGCCCCAACTACCATGCTCATTGAAGACCAGAACTACATTCATGGCCTCCCTCGTCTGTGCTCACGCCAGGACTTCTGTGCTCACACACCTGACCTATATCGCAAAGACCAACGTTTTAAAGCCCGTTTTGCTCATAAATTTGCTGTCACTCAGTGGCACACCTATTGTTCCGCTCACCGAGGCCTGTACCTGTAGATGGTCTTTATATTACATTGTGGAATATTTAGCAGCACACCTGAAAGTGCTGAAGACTGAGTCCTCATGGAATGCACAAATATCACGATGCAAATTCACCGACCCCGTAAGGAGACCTCACAATGTAAAAGCAGCTGTAAGTATTGTACTAGTCACTTGATCAGCCTTGTGTTGTTGTTTGGGTTTCATGCCTGCGGTGTTTTAGTCTCACAAGGCAAAGTTCTCACTGCTTTCTTCAGTTCTAGTCTCCCCTTACATCACGCATCTTACCTTCCAGCAACGTGTCTCACTGAGCACAATAAACCACCAAGTGCTTAGCTCGACACCCCATCTGATAGACCTTGCCCTAACAATAAGTATATTGAGTTGTAATGAAAGAAATATCCTAACTTTGAACTCAGTGAGAATGTGTTGGTGCCCCAGTAGAGGATCTTACATGAGATCTCAAGGCACAATGTTCAGAATTCAAATTCAAAAACAGCCTTTGAATTTCCTGAATATCCAACTTCATTTTTGTTGATTTTACTTACTGGTGATTATTGATCTTTTTGAGTTACAGACCTTTTAAAAAGAGGACTAGCCTACCAGTTTGGCAATCTCTAGCAGCCATTGCTGACCTTAGAACTACTGTAACACCATTTTGCAAAGGATCTGAGTGAATCCTATGGCAACATCTGTTCCTCAGTAATCACCTGCTATTTTGACCAATTTGGGTGGCCAGGTGGACATGACAATAAAGACCATGGCTTCGAAATGAAGGTCTTTCAGTTAGCCAACACCAGGAGTTAGTGTTCCCAAGTTCCTCAAATAAAAACTCCAAACTAGCTGTGAAGAATTATTAGCAAGAGTGAATAGGTTGTATTACTTTGTAACAATTCATACAGAGCTCTAGTCTCTTAGAGACAGTTCCATTTTTTTTTCATAGCTACAAATTCCTTAGTTCCTTCCCAGGTAATCACTGAATACAGTATTACATCAGTTGTTTATTGACTGGTTGATTAGCTGTTGGAAAGCCAAGAAACAAGATTTACTTGAAGTAACTTTCAGATAGATAATAGTGGGAAGAACATTTATAACTCAGTTGTAAAATGGTGTGATAAAATTTAATTTATTCTTTAGAAACTTACGGTTTTTAAGGCTTATCTCACTGAGATAAACAATGTATCTTCACATTATTCACATTATACAATTTTTACTATTCCAAAAAATACATCCATGTGCTTGCAAATATAAGCATAATTCTATTCACTTTAGCTGTCACATTCTAATTCAGATACATATGATCAAATTAAAAACCTGATTAAATGAGCATATTTGCATTGTTTTAAGTAAATAACTGAGATATTGCTCTTCACATTTTTGCTAAAACAGCCTGAAATATGCAAGGTCAGAGGCTTAACCTAGCTGAGAAGTGAATAAGCATGACTGGTTCTAACCAGTGTCTGCGCATTAATGCATTTTCTTGGGTTAAGCTAGTTGCTACTGAATATGGCTTAATATTCTCCTCAAGTTTTCTCATTATGTAAGAAATCTCTAACTTCACCAAAGCAAGTATGACGTCTGCAGGAGAAGAGCTACAGAAAATTCTTCCTTTCACAAACACCAGATTTTTCACATCAGCTTAACAGTTGCAAACACACAATTCCCAAACTACACCTCTAGTCTATAGGATTCAGAACTGAACTGAGTTTATGAGCCGTGTTATTGTTTAAACCGTATAAATAAAACCTACATTGTTTCGGTGAAGCTTCTGCTGTACAAATGCAGAACAGCCGGGGCTGAATAGATTCTATTAATAATGAAATATTGAGTTTGGTATTGACTTGAAGAAGTATTATCGCCTCCTTGACTAACCCTTAGCTGCCAGCAGACGCTGCCTCAGGCCAGTACACACCTAATTGCTCGGGAAAAAGGCCGTTTCCCTACCTCATTGAGCCGCATGATGTGATAAATTTGCCTCAGGTACTCGCTGCCACCTGGTTTGTGGCAGATATCCAGGACCATCATGTTTATTTTCTGCTCAGTCAGTTCAAGAGCAATATCTCCTTCTTCTAAGGCTGTGCTTTTCTCTATTGTCATAAACGCACTAAATACAAAGAAAGCATATCAGTGATGAAGAATTGCAAAGATGGAAAATAATCAGAGAGATTGAGTGTGGAGAGTCGATGCAAGTCTCAGATTCAAAGCACCCATAAAGACTTTGCTCAAATAGGTAAGCCTTCCCAAACCGCTGCTGCTCATACAAACAGTGCCTTAGAACTAAGCACCTGAAAGCATTTTTCAGAAACTGAATCGTTTCTTTTTAAAACATTTCTTTATTGCATTTATACTCCTATCTATAAAACATTTTCCCATTACTGCAATTGTTGAAATTGCCATAATCATGGGATGAAAACAAAACATTTCTTTTTAAGAACATGTAAGAAATAATTTGTATTTTCTCTTTGAGGATAAAAAGTATCTTTGATGCCAGAAATCGTTTTAGTATTCTGTCTTTTGTAGATTCCTCTTTACACCTGTCTAAGAACACATTAAAGACTAATTAAAGTGTCAAAAGGGGGAGCCTGTTATGCTAAATATAGGTTGGTGCTTCCTGGCAGTGTGCTTACCACTATTTTAAATTGGCCCTTTGACACTTGTTGCCTTTTAAAAATATATGTCCCCTCTCTTGTTTCTTCTTGGTAACAGATACTTAGTAAAAGTCATTACCCTGATTATTCTTCTATAAAAAGGGTCTATCACTAATCCAGGAATGTGCAAGTTATATTTGGAAATATATTTCTTTAATATAAAAATGAATATGCTAATTACTAACTTTAAATATTATTTACATAGTAATAATGGATGGCATACTTTCTTTTAAAAATTTCTCTAACTAAAAGTGCAAAATAAATCATGATATTCCACACAAATCATCTATATTCCACACTAAATTTGTTATTGCAATTGCTATTTGGATCATGTCGGGCTTTGCAATCTAAATATTCTTAAGAAAACGCATGGTTTTCCACTGTTTCCCAGACTAAACGAAATTTAATGTGGTGTAATCATCTATACACTGCAGTTCATTACTGAGATTTTGCCATGATTATAAAATTAGTTCTGCTAAGAGTCAGTGCTGCTGACCTGAAGACTGAACCAAATGACACCCAGCTGCTGGACATTAACTTTTATATTGCTTCCACATGTAGCTGCAAAACATCCTTCTTTTAAAAAGAAAAAAAAAAAACTTTACGATCATATAAGCCTTGCTAAAAAACAAAGCAAATCCTGCTCTTAGAGATTTTCATTAGCTAGAGTAAATCTTTAAACAAACAAACAAAAAGACCTTGTTTCAGTCAAAGAAGTTTGTCAATATTTTGAAGCTGCACACAGGTTGCAAGCAAAATTTCTCGTCAGGTTTTTGCAGAGTCTGACATTGAAAAAGTTGAGGTCCTCCGACACAGGAGTACCTTAGTGTCAGCCCCGGAATTGTATCCTTTCCTGTCCATCACTGTGCAGGTGAAGCAAATGATTGGATTCAGTCAATGCTATGATTAATGAGTTCCTCTCTGGATTTGGGACTGCATATCAATCATGTCATTAGGGAGAATGTGCCCTGAAAGAGGCAGACCTTAGCCAAGGAATAACTGCATTAATCTTAATCTGTATATGCACCCAGCCAGCCAAGTCAGGGTCACCATGATGAAAAACAATAATCTTCAACTCGACAAATTACTTTGCAAAGACAGACATTTCTTTACTTTTTGGGCTGTGTGTTCTCCAGAATCTAAGTTGACTGTTTACAGCTTGAGTGTTACTACAAAGTGAAGGTTATTTTAATGAATAGTAATGCTTTCAGGCAGTATGCAAGACAAGCAGTGCTTACAGCTGCCACCTTTCCACTGCAGTTATTGCACAATTTCCATAAAATCAAAGTTAAATCTGGATGCAAGTGAAAGAAGTCTAGCTAAATGATCTTGTGTAGTTCCAAGATAATCTTCATGGAAAATTAAGATTTCATTGATCTTAACAGAAGAACTATTTAGTTTAAATGCTTCCATTCTCATACTTAAAAAAGTATATATATGGTAAAGCCAAGGCAACGTTTCACCTATACACAGACATCATTGTTTAAAATACATTTTCCCCATGGTACAGATCTATGAAATAAATGATCGTTGACTTATGAGAACTATGTGGAGCTGAAAGTTTACTTGTATACCAGATACTCAACTTAAAATCAAAGTCAAGAAGAAACTTTTCTATAGCTCCCAAAACCTGTAAGAAATTACCTAAAGTGAATTAATAAGTCAAATTAAACTCCTTTTCAAATAAATGTAATAAACAACTTTAAAATCTGCTTTTTTATATTGATGTTACTTGAGAAATTGAGAAAGACACAACACTGTGCAAATTACATGATTACATAATGTATATTCAGAATCTTTGAGGGCTGTCAAACATTTTTAAAAGTCAGCAATTCAACATTTTGGATGCAGCTAATCGACCAAATATTAGCTAGACAACTCCCTACATAGGAGATACCAGATGTGTTGGTGCTGTTTATAAAATACTTAAACTAAAATCAACTTGTAAGGAAATAATTTTACTTATGGATTCCTATCCTGTATGTGGTCCCAGGTGCATGACTGAGACATACTTTAAACTGATCTTATTGCTGGAGGGGCTCCTACATTAGCAGGACCATAAATTTCACTTCAGATCCACTATTTTTACTCTTCTTTATTCTCTCCCTTTCATAACCACTGCCATGGAGAATGACATCTGGCCTTAATCTTTAAATCATTGGATTAAAGCCCGTAAATCAGAATCAAATGCAAATGTAAAGATTAAGAAGGTCATTATCAATGTTACTAAGTTTTTGCCTGACTGCTATTGTTATTTTTACCCACAGGATGCCCTAGAAGTAAGTTTCTAGAAATCATGTGACAAGACCACAAAAATCATCATCATTGACATTTCCCCATTTGGATTAGTATAATGTCTTACAGATTAAATCAACCAGTAAAGATATCATAATACTAATTAGTAGAGTTTATAAATAACAAATACTCGTTTTTTCACCTGCATACATTTTTTAAAGAGAGAGAGGAAAAGAGAAACTGGGAATTGAACCCAAAAACTTTTGGTGTATAGGATGACGCTCCAACCAACAGAGCCATCTAGCCGGGGCTTACTAGTTTTAAGTGTGATGCTAAGAACTTTATGAACGCTAGTTAATTTCTCAAAACAACTCTATCAGGTTGGTGTCATCCCTGAAAATTGAGGCTCTGAGAGATTCCGCAACTTGCACAAAATGGCCCACTTAAAAAGGGATTTGCATTTGTCCATCTGATTCCAAAGCCTGAGCTTCTCATCACCACCATGAACTGGGAAAATTAACAACTCGTAGTCGTTCCAGGAAGAAAGTTATAATTGTATCGGCTGGCAATGTGAGTATATTTTAAAAGAATGGAGGATGGGGTGTGTGAGTGGTGTAAAAATACAAGGGCTCGCTTAGTGATCTGCAGGCCACATGAACCGTGATTCCTTATCCATATCATGCAATTCTATACTGAAGACTCACTTTAACAAGGGAGGACTCTATGTACATATTTAAATTCAGCAGGGACCCTTAAAAATCTCTGCAATACCACAAATCATTTAGCTCTTGGTGACAAACCTACGGGAAGGCTGACATTTTCATACCGAAACAGCTGGGTGTGTTTATAGCTCGAGTGTGATATGCCCCAGTTGCCCTCTGGGATTCTTACATTACCAGATGAAAAATGTGTACCTTTTTGACAATCAGGTACACAGAAAGCAATAAAAAGCCTTTTATATCCATTAATTCCTTCTTAATTTAATCTCCATGCCCAATCCATTTACAAAACGCTCCAGGCTATCCACTAGATACCTGTTTGCACACTGAAAAGGAGTGAAACCAAATTCTCCTGGGTTTAACTACTACCCTTTTAATCAGAAACCTGAAGACAGTGAATAAACAGGTGTAATGTTCCAGTGTATCAATGGGTCTCAAATTTTAATAAGACAAGGAACGTCTAACAATCCAGTTTTTAATGGAATATTTATCTTCTTCGATATTCATGGAAATTCCCATGAAGTTACCAAAATGACCACTGCTGCCTCTCTGACAATATTTTGCTGTTGCTGTTTATTAGCAATTTTGTTATTTTGATTGTATTTGATGAAACTGAGTGAAAGAAAAAAACATTGCTTTACCATTCAGTGCTCAATTTCCTTGCTTTCAGCAATTGGCATTTAATCCAGTTGGGTTTTTGCTGCTCAATGCTCTGTATGACCTTTTGGGTCATTGGATTAGGGCTACTCGTCTGCTCTCCCATGATGCCTTTCAAACACACACAGATTAAACCGAGTTTCTCTTTACTCCATCTGTCAAGGGAGGCACCTGTTAAAAGTTCCACAGTGTTTCCATCCTCAAATATCCGACATATAATTACAATCAAGTTCCAGACAAGCAGGCTAGCTTTCTTCAAGTCAACAAAGTTTTTTGACATTTTTCTCTCAGACAGAAAAAAGAAGTATTTAATTGGGGGAGGCAAACATGCAATCACCGTAGGTAACTTGCTGATTACAATAGATACTGCCTGCGCAGCAAGCCTTGTGAAGCCTGGGGAAGAAAAGAAAGAAAAGGTATGATTAATATTAGCATTTGCGTTCCATCACTGTGTTGTTTTGAGTGTTGTGTGGAGAATGTCTAATTTCTGTGGAGAAAATTGTGGAGAAGAACCAGTGCTTGACATATTGCAACAGAACTCTACTGGAGTCCCCTGCAGGACTGCCTAAAATTTCCCAAATGTCAAACTTATTCTTTTTCTCCTTCAAATAAAGATTAGAAAAGTCAGAATTATTACTTATATTGTTATCTATTAAGACTGCGGGTTTAAAGGGCCCAGATGTCCTCGACTAATAAATGCAAAGCTCTGCTGCTGGGCCTCTTTGCGGTCTTCACTCTGGAAGCCTCTCTCCTGCTCCCTTGGAATCCACGTCAGAATCATTCCAGCTCCTGTCAAGACCTCTCCATTTAGTTCTTAGCCCAAATGTCACCTCCTCACAGAAACGTTCCTCGCCATCCCATCTAACTCAGTCCATTCACGTCCTTCCTATCCCAGCCCAAATCCCTCCTTAACATTAGATCCCAATTTCTTGCTTTTATTGTAGCACTTAGTATCACCTAATAATTACCTCCTTTATTTGTTCAATGTTTTTCAACCTCCACTAGAATATAAGCTCCATGAAGCCCCTGCTGCATCCCCAGCACTTAGTACCTCATATATAACATCCATTCAATAAATATTTGTTGAATAAATGAATCAACAAACTTTCATGGTTACCTCTACTATTTTTCTCTGCTTCTTTGAGTCTCCTGCTAGTTCCACTTCCTACTAACACCTCTTAATGGTGAATATTTGCTAAGAAGTCCATGGCCCATTGACCAACAATGCTACACACTCTCCTTTGCGTGGCGTTATTTCTCTGAAGGATTGACTGATGCTCCCTCTACATCAGAGTTTCTCACCTTTGGCACTATTGACATTTTGGGCTGGATAATCCTTTGTTGTGAGGTGCTGTCCTGACATTGTTGGATGTTTTAGCAGAACCTCTGGCCTCTACCCACTAGACGCCAGTAGCCTCCTCCTCAGTTGTGACAACCAAGTGTTGCCAATGTCTTCTGGGGGCAAAATCCTCTCTGGTTGAGAATCATTTTCTAGATGACTCCAGCATCTTTTGTCTTGGCCTTTCTCCAGGATAGCAATCCTAAAACTTCAGCTCCCTGTTGGGTATCCCATTTCTCTGTCCTACTCATCATTAACTCAGTATAGCTAAAACCAAATTCATTGTTTTCCTCACAGCCTGGCTTGGCCCTCTTTAGGCTTCTGCATAACTCATCATTCTCACATGGATGCCCTCTCTTTTCATGGGTCACCCACTTTCTTCAACTCATGCCATGTAGTACCATGTTTTGTATTATCATCTATTATTGTTTATGTTTTATTGTTACTTAGGTCCTCATGAGTTGTCTTTACAAGTAGACTAAAAGGTCATTAAAAGCATGGAAAACAATCTCATTGCTTCTTGAGTATCTCACAAAGCCAGGCACAGTGTTTTAAGCCTCTATGTACATGCATTTATATGAACCTTGGAACTAAGTGAGAAGTCAAAAGAACATAACTTTGAGTTCTTCAGTAAAACATTTATTGTTTTTACTGAACAAAAATAAAACAATGTGAAAGATGTTTGCGACATTTAAAGAAGTCAATCTGCTCTAAAAAGTACAAAGCTCTTGGAAAACATATGTCTAGTCTGTGACTTCTCAGAAATTTATGACATCTTCAGAATCATTTAAAAAATTAGCTAGAGCAGTTTTTTTTTTAAGTCTGTAAAATGGCTCCAACATATATTTGAATGATCTCATATGACTGCAGTATTAAATAAAATAATAAATGCATAAGTACCTACTTGGTAAAAAATAGTTTCTTAATAAATATTTTCTTTTCATTCAAATAAATATGTTTAGATGGGTGTTGAAATATAAACAAAGCAAATTAAGAGAGTCCTTTGTGACCCCTCTTCTCTATGTCCTTAAATTATTTAAATGTCTTATGCTTCTTATGTGTCTCTGTCTCACTCCCCATTCTACTGTCTGGTACTTGAGTTCAAAGGTTTTATCTTCTATTCTACTTACCCTCGAGAGGGTCTAACTGCAGACACAGAGTAAACATTTGACAGCCTATAGATTGCAGGTAAAAATGACCAATTCTCTTCATACCTGCACTTCCCAAACTTTATAAAATCTGAGGGCTCCAGGTACTCAAATCCCTAACTACTTCATTAAAGCTTAAGGCAAATTCCAATCAGAACCTTTAGGCTGATGACAAATTAATAAATTCATTCTACTAATCACAGGGGCTCTGAGTCTATGATGATGTCAACAGCACTCCAGGGAGGGATCTTTTAAGAATGCCACACATTTATTTTTCTGTCTTTATTTAAATAGCCTGACTTCTATGTAAGCCACATATATGTAGTATATTGTAAGAGCCATCTCAATTTCAAAACTGATAAAGTGAAAAAAATTTGTCTTAGAATAAATGCAATGTGATATCTATATTTATGTATTTGTTATTTCTTCCTTCCTATGCATATACTGTAATTATAATATATTTTGTGGATTGTAAGATATGCAAAAGGAAAAGTTAAAGTGAATGAGGTAGAGACAGAATAATATCTTAAAATTAATTTTAAGATTTTGTTTATTAATGGTATAAAATGTCAACAATAATTTATTGAGTAAGGATAATGTGATTTAATATATTTTATTATTTTTAAAATCTGGGCTTAACACTCTATGGAAAGTGATTCAAAGTTCAGGTACTAAGTTCAGTCTGTTTCCATACTTGTTTTATTTTTTAATTCTTACCCGAGGACATTTTTCCATTTTTTGTTCAGATAGAGTGGGAGGGAGAGAGAGAAAAAGAAACATCGATGTGAAAGGGACACATAGAGTGGTTGCCACCCGCACGACCCAACCAGGGCCGGGGATAAACTGCAACCAAGGTACGTGCCCTTAGCGGGAACCAAACCCGGGTCTCTCCGGACCGCAGGCTGATGCTCCAACCGCTGAGCCAAACCAGCCAGGGCTCAATACTCAGTTTTAATGGCTGTCGCGGCGGGTGGAAAAGCCATTACATGAACATATAGAGATTCACGTGGAACAAGTGCATCAATAACTGGGCTTGTGAAATCATGGCTTTCAGTCTCAGCCACCAAATAGGCAAAGGCTGTTGTTGAAGTGTGATTCATAACTATTCATCATTCAGGCTGTCAATTAGTTGTTCTTGCAAACAAGCTGAAAAATATTTTCCTTTTGTATTTTTAAGCAAAATGTTCAAGAGTCACTTAACCTCTTATTTGGAATATTTTCATCATGTTAGAAAATTCTAAGTTCTTAAGCGTGCAGATATAAAATTTATATAGGTAACAGTAATTTTTATAAAATAAATATTTCTGGTTTTTAGAAAAAAAACTCTCTTAATGACTTCTGATACCATGTTGTGTATTTTTGCCACCAATTTCTCAGCAATCTGCATGTGAACAATGAATACATTCTCCTTGAGGTGCTACCTCTGTATCCCCTCCAGAATCCAGTTTCAGTTAAAGCTGTTACTCCAACAGTTTTCCCATAAAGCACTCTTTTAATTTAAAAAGTAATTTAGCGCTAAGAAAATATATTCTCCAGTATATTTCTCATTTAATTGTTGTCAAAGAAACAAAACAACTATTCTTTGTGTATTTGCTTTCTGAAATACGAGAGCAAATACTTAAGCTGATCTATATAACAAACATGTGAACTTTTATTCAACTCTTCCACAAATCCCCTACTTTGTATAATTTATTGTAATATTTATTTCTTTAAAGCTTCGGTGTTTTCTAGGCATCGGTATTTGCTGACAAAGGAATAAAGATGTGCATTTCAGTTTGTTGCCACAGTGTTTTCCATGTTCCATCACTTTCACTGTGTCAGGAAGAGCAAATGTTCCCCTCAGCTAGACTATTTGTCTTTTAATAAGTCACAATCTTCAAAAAAAGTCTCTCAACATTTATTGTTATTTCAACAAATTTGCAAAGTACTGGATTAAATACATTTGACCTAAAATATTGCTGGAAACTCTTACAGAGGTTTGTCTTCATGTTTTAAATGCTTGGTTTTGAAATCTCTTGCTAATCAAGATGACTTTAAACTACCTCTAGCTAATATCTCAAGGCACAATACTCACTTAGGAAGGACTCCTGTTCAATGATAATGAAAGGGAAGCCATATTTTGAATGGCTTTTCCACACATTTCCTTTTATATTCTTTTTTTTTTTTTTTTCTTGGCCAAACCTGATCAGATTGTTATTGCTTTTCCTTATAACACGTTAGGACTAGGAATGTGTGAGCTTTTACACCTTGTCATTGTTTGCTCCTCCTTGCATCCTCAATGTTACTTTTATTTTATTTTTTTATCCTCACCCAAAAATATTTTTCCATTTTTTAGACAGATAGAGTGGGAGGGAGAGAGAGGAAGAGAGAGAGAGAGAGAAACATCAACGTGAAGGGACACATAGAGTGGCTGCCACCCGCACGACCAACCAGGGCCGGGGACAAACTGCAACCGAAGTACGTGCCCTTAGCGGGAACCGAACCCGGGTCTCTCTGGACCGCAGGCCGACTCTCTAACCGCTGAGCCAAACTGGCCAGGGCCTCAATGTTACTTTTAAACTGCAGTTGATTTGTTGGTTTACAGGAATATGTTAAAGCCACTTGTGTGTTTTGTGAGGATTAATTTTGTTAAAACTGGATTTTGAAATGCAAAGGACAACCGTGGCTCATTACTGTATGCTAAAAGCTAATGAGACAGTGAGGTTACCCTGTCAATCCCTACCCAACAATATTGTCCCCAGCACATGACTGGCTCACACAAAGACCAAGGAAGAATTCCAGCGATAATCTCTGTGTGACATTTTAGTAAAGTTTAATTTCTTTCTTTGTTTCTTCACACAACAAAGAATTGTCTTGCACATCCCCCAAGGTGTTTGTACCCATTTGAAAATAGTTATACTAGTCTTCAATCACCAAGAGGAAATATCTTATTTAGAGTTTATCTCTGGCCTCTACTCCAGCGACTGGTAATAGTAATAATTCACCTAGTAAATATCTATTGAAAGAGCAAGTGACAATGTCTGGCATGTAACTATTACCTTTCTCATATAGGGTTGAAAACAAAGGTTGAGCACCATCAGTCTGAAAGAGGGCAGAAATGAAAAACAATGGCCTTCTATTGTCATAGCCACTGGGAAGGCACAAAAGCTTTATAAAGTCACTTTTCTTCACCACCTACTTTTTTATAATTATGTGACTTGGCACCCCTTAATGGCTGTCTATCGTGGAAGTGTACTTCTACTTTTAGTGATCATTTTATAAAGATTATTTAGTAAGGAAAACAAGAACAAGTATCTACACAGTAAGCAATTTTTTTTGGAAACTGAGGTTGTTAAAATGTTATGGAAGAATTCCAAAATGCTTTTATTTTGTTTTAAATGCTTTTAGAAAGCAAAATCATTCATGAATAGAATGTCTTAAAAGCCACAAGCAAAATGGTGCTATTCCTATGATGTGATATGTTCCGTGTAGATCATGCCTCCTGAATTGTTCTGTCTACGAAATATCCAAAAGCTGGAATGAAGAGTGACGGCAGCAACTCGGACAAGGCGGAACTTAGGTAATGGAAAGGTGACATTTTCCAACTTCAATTAAATGGCTTTACTAGATTCAAAGGCAGTTTAATAGGGCTTGGACAGAATTAAAACATTACTATGAAAGGTCACAGATAGATAATTGATTTGAGTTCGTAATATAAGTTTGTTGGATAAGAGCCACATTGTTTAGGATCTACATGAAGAAGAGTGAAAGAATGGCTAGTCCCGTCAACTGGCTTTAGTGGGTTTGGCTAGAGTATTTTACTGTTGACAATTACTTTAGAGTTAATGAAAAAAATTCTTTTTAAAAGATGAATATATTGCCATTTGTTTGCTCAAGAAATGAACAAAAGATTGAAGGCGAAGGCCTTAAGTGCTTGTTGTGTGCCCACTGACCAGATAACTGGAACTATCTATATTATCTATGCAACATGGAGTTTTTATTTTTACCTAAAGCCATCCCTTTTTGATAATGACAAATGTGTTGTTTTTTTAAAGACTGTTTTTTTCTCAACAAACCTTTAAAGGTTTTTAAATTACTTCTTGTCTAATCAAGTTGAGATTTTTAAGAATCTCATGTTTAATTTGTAATAAAAGTTTACAGCTTGACTTTTTTAAAAAAAAGTCAACAAACTACAAGCACCTGTGAATAAAGGCCTCAAATAATTGTCAAAAAGGGTGAATATTAAAAGAAAAAGTTTTATTTTAAAAATCCTAAAGAAGATTCATGAATGCAGACAGATACATAATGTACATTCAAAGGAATCTTGTGAATTTCTTGGAAAGTAGAAACATCTGGGTAGGAATAAACCATTTAAAAAGAGAGGACTTGATGAATAAAGTAAATGGATAACGTAAGTAACGGATGGTTCTTAGATACATTTGGTAGATGCACTGCCTTGAATAGAAACAACACACTAAATTCACAACCATAGGTATTAGAGGAAAAATAACTTGCCAGAAAAATATGTGGTTTGTAAATGTGGTGCTATTTTTAACCTGAAAGTCACAGATATAAGTGTGTTAACAAGAAAAAAGTTATAATTGGTGGGTGAGGAGGAAAACTTCCAAGGAAAGAACAACTAAACTGAGTATCACAGCAATTTTTCTCGAGAGAATGAATTTTAGATTACTTAACAGATTTAAAGGAAATTAGTCAAAATCATGTGACTAATCTGTGAATACAAACATGAACACAAAATGTTACAGAAATTTTGAATTGGTACTTAAATGAAGAAAATGACCATTTGAGTCATTTTCGTGTCTAGTTCTCTTGATCATATGACTCACAGAAAAGAAAATAACAGGTCCCAAATATACATGGTAAAAATAAGACTAATACAGTTTACAAATCTTATCATTTTTAGCATGTTACTTGATCTCATATTTTAGAAAATTGTTTCTTCTGGGATGTGTTCTCACAGAAAAACAAATATACCTTTGCTTGGTTCCTTCCCTTTGGTTTCTTTTGGAATATAATTCCATTCCTTTGGAATGCTCTCACGCAGATGTTCAGGAACACCATGCTTGTTTAGGTTTGTCTCACAGTTTCTCCCAGAGCTCAGCACAGATATTATCTGCTGTACAGTGTCCTTGACAGCGTCAGTCAGTGCCAGTCTCAAGCATCGGATGACCTCTATCTCGGACTCCATGTACATGCATGTTGAGACTTCAAAATCAGACAGCATATTACAGTTAGTAGAATCTGGCAATATATTGTACTTTAGTCAATTGAGAATTCAGTTTCTTAACAATCTAGTGTAAAGCTATAAGAAAGGAGAGCTGCTTTTAACCTAGAAATCATATAATTGATAAACAGTTCATAAACATTTGAGAAGTTTCTTCTTGATAATTAAAGAAAATGGAAATTAAAATAACACTGAGTAATTATATTTGCGAGTAATTTGGGACTCTACTGGTAGAAACATAAATTGTGTGACCTTCTCAGATGACAATTTACCAATGATATCAAAAGCTCCAACATTTTGTGTACCTGTTAATCCATTTATTCCTTCTCTAGGACTTTATCCTAGGAAGTTAATTATGGTTATATAAAGAATATAAAAAAAATGGAAATAATCTAAATGTCCAATAATTGGTAACTTATTTAATTAGCCAAAGTAAATCCATCTCACAATAAACTCATATATTATTTAGCATAAAAATAAAAGCAAGTTAGAAAGAGTATGACATGCAATTTTTATTGAAAAATACATGTCTACATACACACATAAAAAATTAAGAGATATACTCTACGATGTTAATGATTTTCCTCTTCCTTTGCTTCTTCTTTTAAATTTTCTGCCTTCCTTTACTCCCTCTCTCCCTCTAGCCCTGCCTTTCTTCCTTCCTTTTTTCTGTCATCCTGCCTTATTTATGATTATTTGTATTACTCACCATGATATATTATTGTGTGATAAATGCAATAAAAGTGTTTTTTTTTTTTTTAATTATAACTGCAAAGCCCTGGAACTCTGCATATAAAGAGCTTGGAGGTTGCCATTCTGTCCTAACAACAAATAAAAAGCTGAAAAGATAAAAAAAAAAGTCAAGAATTCTTCTTGACTCTGTAAGAAAGGTGAAGACGCAAGGAGAACTGGAGAGACAGGCAAATACAGGAGTCGTGGCTTACTGAAGCAAAGACCCAGAGCAGAAATTATCATGAGAAGCGTTGCCAAGCTGGGGAAATCTGAACTGTGATGAATGTCTGGAGGCTCAGTGCAGGACAGTCTGAGAGTTAAAACTCCAGAAAGACCCTGGCATGGTGGGGGGCGGGGCGGGGGGGCTGCCACACTTTTGTGAGTTTTATCTCCAGGAACTCCACTAGTTTCCCACAGTAAATGTCAGAGAAAAATTGCATAGTGCTTCCAGCATGGGGAAGGGAAAAGAAACATTTGAAATAGACCAGTGCACTCTGTTCTTCTTAAGGCCTGTTCTCAGGAGAAACTATTAAAACAGAGCTTTGCCCACTGGGGTTATCAGAGCCTGACTTACCTGGGTGAAAGAAAATGCCCAACTCTAGCACCCTCTAGCCATACTCTCCTATCTAAGAGGGAAAAAAAATTCCAAGAAACATTTGTGAAGTACACCATTCAGAAGCACAAGCTCACTAAAAATCTGACACCTAATCATAGGACTATAGATAGCTCCCCCTCCCCCTACATATTTCCACCATGTTACTGAAGACTTACTTAGAGTAGTTCCTTTTACCCAGTATTTTATGTCCAGCTTTCAAGAAGATAAATTATAAGACATACTAAAAGGCAAAAAACACTATTTTAAAAGAAAAAGCAAGCATCAGAAACAGACAGTGCAAAGATATTAGAATGATCAGATCAGGAATTTAAAACAGCTAGGCTTAATATGCTAAATGTGCTAATGGATAAAATAGACAGCATTAAAAAAAACAAAAAACAAATTTCCAATGTAAAGAGAGAGATGAAAGTCCCAAGAACCCCACCTCCCCTACAAATACTAGAGATCAAAAGCACTAACAAAAATGAAGAAAGCCTTTCATGGGCTTATTAGTAAACTGGACATAGCTGATGAAAGAAACCCTGAGCTTAAGGATATGTCAATAGAAACCTCACACTGAAAAGCAAAGAGAACAAAGACTAAAAAGAAGAAACCAGGAGAGAATATCCAAGGACTATGGGGAAACTGCAAAAAGTGTAATATATTTATAATGCAAATAGAGAGGAGAGCAAGGGGGAAAAAAAAGAACAAACAAACAAAAAACAGAAGAACTATTTGAAACAATAACGAACAAGAATTTTCCCCAAATTAATGTCAAACACAAACCACAGATCTATGAAGTTAAGAGAACACCAAGCAAGATAAATTCTTTTAAAAACGATGCCTAGGTATATTATTTTCAAATTATAGAAAAATCAGATAAAGTCCTGAAAGAAAGCATAGGGAAAAAGACATATTACATTTAGAGGGACAAAGTAAGAATTACATTCGACTTCTCAGATACCATGCAACTAAGAAGAAAGTGAAGTGAAATATTTAAAGTGTTGAAGAAAAAAAAGTCAACCTAGAATTCTATATCCTTCAAAATTATCCTTCAAAAGTAAAGGAGAAATAAAGACTTTCTCAGACAAACAAAAATTGACGGGATTTGTTGCCAGTAGACTAGCTTACAAGAAATGTTCAAAGAAGTTCTTTAGAAAGAAAGAAAATAATATAGGTCAAAAACTCAGGTCTATCTAAAGAGCAATGAAGAAGGAATAAATGAAGGTAAAATTAGAACTTTTATTTTTTTATTCATAATTGATCTTACAGATAATACCAACAATGTGCTAACTCATGCATATATTATATATGCATACTTGTATACTTCTGTATATTTCTATATAAGTGAAGTGAATAACAGCAATGATATAAGAAATGGAAGAAAGAAATGAGAATTATTGTGTTATTATAAGGTACTCACACAACCTGTGAATTGTTATAGAGTTATTTGAAAGTGGTTTTGGATTTGTTTCAAACTCTCTACATGTTGCAAACTCTAGGGCAACCACTTTAAAAAGTAAAATAAGTATAACTGATATGCTAAGAAAAGAGAAATGTAAGTGATGTAAATGGTTTATGGACTAACAGGATAATCACTAAGTTCTCATCCTTTGTTTTACCAAGATATTAAGAATGAAGATTTAAAGCCAAGAAAACAATGTGAGAATCTTTATACCTTCCTCTGAAGGTGGGGCAACCCATGAACACTTTTTATTCAGATATGTAATCTGTTCTGTCTCTAGTAGCAGGCATAATACAAATGGGAAATAATTGTCCCCAAAGGAATAATAGGATACCTTGTAGAGAGAGGTACCATGTTCATCACAATAAATGCATTTTACATTTGAAGAAAATTGAGCATCAGTTTTGTCCATCAGTTCATTGAATAAATGCACCCAAGAGTCACAGACATTTTTTTTGCCCATCTTACTAATGTCTTATATGTTCAATAGCAAAACATAATCTCTGGCAAATATTAAATTAAATTTTTATGAAAGAATATGTCATAATAATCTGCATTACATAATTTTTCCTCTCAACCTCCCCCTCACATTGTCCCATGTATACTAAATTTTGATAGAAATTAATGGCTAATGACTTCCAAAAGAGACCTTTATACTGAAAAAAATTAAGATAAAATTTTATAAATAACAGACTCAGTAAAACTGATATCAATAAGACTTTTAAAACACCTTTAAAGATACATTTAGGTATCTCTAAAATGCTTCTTTTAAAATTATAAATTTCTCATACCTGGAATGTTATATAAAAAGTCCCATAATTGTTCTTCTTCCATGTAGCTCACAAAAACATTCCCAAATGTTTGTGGAGAAAAACTGCAGTAGTATAGTACTTTAAAGATGGCTTCCACCAAGCTGGACACTTGGATCATTTTATTTTCTGTATCAGAATCTTGTGCTTGAAAAGTGCGTTCTTGAAAAGAATAAAAATGACTTAGTGAGATAGGTATCAGTTAATGTAATTAAACTTTTATCAATTTCTCTGGCATAATGCTTTTAAAATGTACTTGATTAATAGTAAGAGAAATGCCACATTCTTTGAGACCAATAGCCCATCTAACCCAATATTGTTTGTGAGATATTTGTGGATACACATGGAAGACAAATAGTGAGGAGAACCACAATGACATCATTTCAAAGAGCAATGCTAGTTTACCATTAGGTCAAAAACATTTTTTTTCCTCTTTAGAAAACTTTTTGATTCCTTTTCTCATTTAAAAGTAATATATTTTCATTCTAGAAATCATAAAAAAAATCCAACTAAGGAAACTAAAATTATACCAAATCTTACCAATAAGTGATATTCACTATATTTGGTGCAGTATTTTATTCACATTAAGTACAAATATACATAAATGAATATATGTATGTATAACAAATGCCAAATAGAATTATTCTATATATACCCATTTGTTATCTAAAATCTATTTAAAACTAGTTAAATATTTGTATCTTTTCCTGCAATTTGTGTTCTGAACACTACTTTACCCATTATTCAGAATGTACATTTCATGGAAAATTTACATTTATGGTGTTCTCAGACTTATGCTACCAATTTTACAAATACACTTATATGTTTTTCAAACCTGTAGGTCCTATCATTTCAGAATTAAGAGTTTTATCAATTGGTTTCTCAATAAAATTATTTTAGGAATTCCCACAAAAATACAGCCATCTTAATTGCCCTTTTCAGGGCTTAACTATGACTTCCTCAAAGATCAGTAATCAGAAGTTTCTACTTTTGTATCTATATGTTGGATTGGGAAAGTGAAATAATTTCTATTTTGCTTGAATAATTAGAATAATATGCTCAGTATCATAATATGTAAAATATGTATTTAATTAAAGATAATGACTTTCATATCTTAACTCTTATGTTTTAAATATCTTAAATGTAATCAAGATTATTTTAGAATGAGAACATTTCTTTTTCTTGCTCATTTAGAAGCTCATCACTTTGTTTCTTCTTGAAAATTTTATTTATGTGATTGGATTTCCATGATCTAGAACTCAATGGTAACTGCAAACTAAGAAATGGCAACATAGACTTAATGTAGAGAAAATTTATTGTTTTTGTTTTACTAATTTTCTGTCCCTTTAAGCAAGTTAGTTTAAGCAAGCTAGCTATCCCTGCCTCCACCTCTCCACCCCTCACTCCCCTTGCACCTCCACCCACACACTTTGTTCATTTGGTTGAATGAAGCTAATTTCATAACCTGGGTTGGGCATATGACCAAGGACTAGCCAATCAGAGCATGACACCCACTGTAGCCCCCATTAACAGTGATTAGTTCAGGGGTATGTAGGTAGCCAATGGGAATCTGCCTTGGAGTTTTTCCTGGAACTATTGGTAAAGTGATGTTCTCATTGGATTGGAGTTGCTAAACTTGTAGAAAGTAGGCTGGAAGTTACTGATGACCATTTTGGGAAGAACTTGACTGAGAACAAATCCTATACAGTAAGAAGCAGAACCACGAGATGGAGAGAACATTCCTGATGATATAACACTGAGAACCTGAATCCAGCAATACCTGTATGTTTATGTCAGCTGAGCTGATTAATTTTTCTTTTTGGTTAAACCAGACTAATTTCTGTCACTTGCTATCTGAAGAGTCCTGACATTTTCATCAAGCATAAAATGTTAAAGGACAAAAAGTCATAGTCCAGGCATTCATAATGTCATCTTTCTTATCCATACACTTTCTGAAGTTCTCTGTGTTTTCCTCCCTCCAATTCATCTTACACACAATCATCAGTCATCTTTCTTGGCATTTCCCCATGTTTAAACCTTCACCATCCCTCCACTTTGCTAGAAATTCCTATCCTAACAATCAAGAATTTCTACAATATTTTCCCAAATTATATTCCAATCTCAAAACATCCATTTCACTGGGATTGTTTCCTTGCCTTCCTTGTAAGGTTCCTTCCCATTTCCTTTTGTTTGTCTATGCCATTTACTAGTCCAGAATGTTCTCCAATAAAATTCCCATGATTCATTAGATCAGTCAATCAATTAATATGGCAGTACTCAGTATACTAGATGCCAAGGCCTATACCTTCCCAGGATTCACTGCCTGTGTATGGGTGCTGCCAATTCTACAGATACATTTGTACCTGGGTGGAGGGGATGATAGAGATGTAAACAATCATTACAGAAATGTAAGGATAAGTAAGGTGACTGTACACCCTGGTTTACCTGGGGCAGTCCTGATTTATGTCTATTGTTCTGGAGTAGTTATTAGTAACATCCTCTTTCATTCTTTAAAGAGTCTCAATTTGGATGACAGATTATTTGATCACCTTAAATCTAAGTGCCTTCAATCTGAGGCATGATACAAATACAAAAGGTGATGTTTTAACCTGGGTGGGAGGCACAGAGAAGATCATATCTCAGTGAAGTCTTTTAGGAGGGGAAGTTATCTGCATGACAAGGTTGAGGTGGGGGAGGTACTTTCCGGGAAGACAGAAGAGTTGGTATAATGGTGAAAAGACAGGTAGCTGCTGGTAGGCTGCAGTGTGACTGGTGGGAGGTGAAGCTAGACAATCAACAGAGCATGAATAATTGAATGCCCATAAATTATGCAATGATAATGCAGATGAAGAAAGGGGATGGATATGAGGAATAGTTATAATAAAAATAATAAGTAGTAGTAGTATGGTTGTTACCATACACAAATGTCAAGACACTTCAATGGGATATTACTTTTTATTTTTCTCTTTCTGTTTTCCTTTGTCATGGAATAAAATAGCCGATTCCTGTTTACTCTCCTCAGGGATTTTTGCTATCAGTCAGTTGCCCTTCTAGCCTTAAAAAGAAGAAAAGCTAAATCTATTGAATAATTATTAGTTTGAATGACATGAAATAGCCATTTTTGTAACCTAAAAAAGGTTAAAAAAAAAAAAAAACAACTGGCACTGCCATCTGATACCAAGTGGAATCCTGTGTCCTGGTGGGCGGACAGGGAGGAGGGTTTGGAAGCTCTGGAAGAGGAGAGGCAGCGGGACTGGAGAGAGAAGCTCTGGACCGCCGGGGGAGAACCTGCTCCTTGCTCGCCAGCAATGCTCAGGGAGGCTTGCCTGGGTGAGGCTCTGAGGGAAGCTAAATTCCTGGCCCAGGTTCTCAGTTTCATCAAAGATTTTAAGCCATGTCTGACTGCTGCATTTGGGAGGGACCACGTGGACCAGGATAAATGGTACCTCTGCTGTAGCTAAAGTGACCAGATAACTGATGATCACCGGAGCCTCCCAGGGAGCTCTGCACTACCCTGGACGCCCTAAGAATACTTACAGTTCTACCAACTTGGTAGCATGAGGCTTAGGCTCGTGATAAAATTGATTTGTGGATAGTAAGTGATTCAGAGACTTCTTGTACATCTGAGTTTATGAATTGAGATTTATACCAGCTCCATAAAAATAGAGTTACTGTTCCCAAAGTAATTACTGTATGCCAAACATCACTTGAGCTGCTTTACAACTCATTTCATCTTCATAATACTCTGTGGAATGGGTGCTGATTATCCCAGTTTTACAGATGAACAAGTGAAATTGAGAGAAATAAACTAATTTACCTAAGATTACAAAGGTAGTAAACATTTGCCTGTGCTGTTTGCATGAAACAATAATCTCAAATTTCTCAAAGTCTGCTTTGACATTTTATTGACAATAACCTCCATACCAAGTATCTGGCATGTGGGAATTTATTGCCTCACTGAAAAATAACTTAATTTCTGGTAGCATTCTACACTTTCACACACATTATCTCATTGCATCTCTAGTACTGGTTTTTATTGGACTTCCTATGGATGTGCCTCATGTCATTGGGTATCTTCCCACAGCACCTATAACAGAGCTACATATTTAATCAATGTTTCAATATTGAAGAAGAAGAGAGGAGTAAGAAAGAAATAGATCTTTTGAGTATTTTTTGTTGGGCTTGGATCCATATAGAAATTGTTTTTGTGGAATGACATTTACCTCCCAGTTAAAACATTCAAAGATCTACCCCCCCCCCCAACTCATCTTCCTTATACCCACTGTATCCTTTCTTTTTATCGAATCTTTGGAAACCCTCTTCTTTCATATGGCCACATTCTCTCGATTTCTCGGTGCTTCATTGATTTATCGTTTCTGTAGCTCTTTCTTTTTATCATCTAAAACCAAGGATGGCAACCATTTTCTATAAAGGGCTAGATGGTAAATATTTCAGGTTTCACAAGTCATTTGATCTCTGTCTCCAATGAATTCTGTCATTGTAAGACCAAAGCAGCCATTGATATAACATGAATGAAAGATCAGACTGTTTGAATTAGACTATTCACAAAATCACGTAGTGGGAGAGGAAAGCAGCACTGGTCCATGGGAACCCCACACCCCGAACTATGGCCTTGCCCTTCTTCCAGCCTCCCTGCTTTATAACTGGCTTAGCAATTCTGTTATCTTTTCATTTCAAAGATCCCCTTTATGCAGAAGCTCCCAAAATCTCCATCTCTAGCTCTGACCTTTCTGTTTCATGCTCCTTGCCACGTTCCTCATTTCTGTATGGGACACCACCATGGTCTGTTAATCTCCAGGCCCAATGCCTTAGCAATTTTTATTCCTTCTCTGAATTGTTAGATGTAACAAAATAAATGTCCCTTCCCTCATCCCCCTTCCATAATGAATCAAATGCTTATTTTTTCCCTATTACCATGACCCTTCTTCTCTGTTCTTAATACTATTAATATAGTTTAGGTTTTCTTTACCTCTTGTTTTAATCAAAATACTCCCCAGAATATACCTTCAATCTAAACTCCTCTGGCTGCCTTTGAAGTTCTCCATAACCTATGCCGTATATATCGAGACTGAGATTTTCTATTACCACCAATATTCCAAGATCTCACCACCCATCAAAGAAGGCTGGCTGGAGAGTGACCC